TATCTATTAATTTTAAATTAATTTTTATATTTAATCTCGATAGAAATTATTTTTTTTCATTATGTGCCTTTGCATAATTAATTATAAATATTAATTTAAATTCTGTTAAGGTACAGTTTATATGCGAAATTAAACGTAAATTCAGATTTCACTATTCTACCATTGATTATTAGTTCGCGAAAAGTTGTTCACTCTGTATAGTTTTTTTCAATTGAAAAAATCACTTGGATATATTGTATTTAAAAAAAAAAAATTGATTTTGCACTACACGTATTCAACGACATTTTGGGATTCAAACTTCAGTTGCGGTTTCTTGTCGTAACTCGAGATTCAATTTCCCTCTGGTATCTTATGATACCGCGAACAATCGAGGTGACGAAATGTGCAAAAGTTCATTGGGTCTGAGGATTCGCTCGGGCCAATCGAGGAATTCTGCCTTCTAATTCTATCCTGCGGTTACACCTAGAAACGATGGCAATTCTCCGGCGGCAGGCATTGAACCTTTCACCTATCACGGCAGCAATATTGCTTCTCGGCCGATCCCTTCATGCACTATGCTTTCTGTTACAGGCGATGGCTGCGGGAATAACATGTTCAGGTGCAACGACGGCAGATGCATACAATCGATCCTCGTGTGCGATTATCGCGGGGACTGCGACGACAATAGCGATGAAATGCAGTCGTGTCGTAAGTATCGGAATTCTTTCCTTGTCGTCGACCTTAAAATAGCCAGAATTAAACATAATTTTTATTACGCCTCGCGGTGGTCCCAGGATTATTAGTTGCGTTGTTACGACTCGAGTTACATTGGAAATACCGCACGACAACATATAATGCAGATATGAATCTTTCAGGGAAACAGTCGGTCTTCCATATAATACGTCTTTGTGCGATTGAAATCGATTCACAAACTATTAGTCTTCTTCGAAGAAAATGCTTTGAGAAACATAACACTTTATAGTCGAGTTTGCAATTTGCATAAATTAAGTGAGTCGTTCTATAAATTACTACTTTGTCACACAGATGAGAATTATTATGATGCATCCTGTTTTGACGCGAGGAAAACTCCGCGAGGCTCTCGATATTCTTCGATGATAATAGATTTGTCACACTTTATTATCGTTATATTATTATATTTAACTTTATTTTAAATTACATCATATTCTCCCATAATATCGATAAATACATAGTTCGTAAAGAGCGACTAGATTTTTGAGGAAATTGGAGCATGTCTTCGAACGTGCAATTTAATCGAAAAGAATGCTCCACTACTTGCGCTGATGAATAATTAATGATGAAGTGCTTCGTTAAGTAATAATAAAGAGGGATGCGTGTATAATTCTCGATCGCTCGCTGCCCCCATTACTCGGTTCGCGGTGAAAGAACTTTCAGAATGAAGCCATCGCCTTCATTCAGTATTCCCGGCCGTCAAGTATTTAATGGCGTTACGGCCTGTGGATATCCCGAGGAGGGACATACGTGTGAAAAAGAAATGTATATTTTTTTCACGTAATTTATATCGTATCGCCATGAATTAAGGTCGTCGAGCATTTTGATGTCACCGTCGCAAAAATTCTCGAACTTTAATTAAAAATTCAGGCGGAAACGAATCGTGCGAATAGTCTGACGTTATTGCACAGCTTTTGTAGGATGACTCGCGATTTTTTTAGGGGGCTACGCGAATTTTGTTCCGAACCGTTGAATTTGATTTTAAAGTAATTATATATATGTAATCACGGCCTTGGAGCGAGCCGCATTTTTGAGCGCGCTCTTCCTGTTTGCCCGTCGATTCGTTCCAACGAATGGAATAAATTCGACTCGAGCTGTATACGGCTTACAGTGAATCTCTCGCGTGCCGGAAGTGCCTCGACGAAAATCCGAGGTTTTCTCTCGGAAGTGCTCAGTCTCTTTGTCCAGCGTATTTTTTTCCATATGGCCGATTACGTGACCGCTTTTTGTGATTGAGCTCCTTATCATCGGATTTACGTTGCAGGAAGTGTAATGCAATTTGTGCGTTGCATTATTCTTCCGCGCAAACAAGGATGAACCAATGTCATTTGGGGACTTGGGAAGCGGAAGGAAGGAAATCTCTCATTTGTTCAAAACAGCAGAAGTTTTAAAATATCCCTTTGGGAATAGCTTATAAAAAATAACGCGAGGGATATAAGGTCTCTAAAAAAATTATTCTCTAAAGGGACTTTAATCTTAAGGTATTAAACTTCAGCTTTCTAACGCATCTTTTTAGATCGCGTGGATTTTACGAATATATATTCTTTTCTAGACTCAAAAAATTTTTTATTACGGACAAAAGATATTGGCCAGAATTTTTGTTCTCCTCGGAATTTTCTCCTCTTCCTAGATCGCGAAGCGAAGCAGCGGCCGTTTGTTATGCGGGTGACAACGCAAAACCGGAAGCAAGGCTATGACCCTCTTTCGAGGACGGCGTGCTTGAAGTGCCGCGTGTCATTTGATGAAACGGACCCACTGGCACGATTGTATCTCGTTTTGCGCGGAATCGATTCCAATCTCGCGAACTAGACTTTGCTCAATGATTGCTTTAATCTGTTGCACGAATCTCATTTTTTTTTTTTAAAGCCAGAATTTACTCCAATATCTCGAAACTCGCTTGATAAATAGACATAAATTTTTCGAAAGGTTTAGAGAGCAAGAGCGGGGGGACAAAGTTTCTAATTTATAATTTTATAAAAAGTTCTGTCTGAAGATACGAGAAAGAAAGTGTCTTGAAAAATATTCTTACGCGTTATAGATATTTGGAAAAGAGATAGAATTGGAGCGATCGGGTCCCGGTGCAGCTGCGCGATTGTCGGACCATCCGGTAATAAACGATCGGGGGAGCTTCCCTCAATCGCTCGGCGAATCGACGGCCGGCTGATTTTATGCCGGTGCAATTATAGCACCGGTGCGATCTGTAGCGCTCTCCTGTTGCACGAACGAATCTTCGTACATTGCTGTTGCTGGAATTTTGCAGCAGCAGTTTGTGATACACAGTACCTGCGAACACCTTTTTACCCTGGCTTTTTACGCGGATAAAGGAATACTATGCTGATAAATATTCAACGAGGAAGCTCCCTCTTTCACGTCTGCGAAGTATCACGAATCTCTGATTAGGTTGAAGACAATAGGAATTGTTAGAGACATATTTCGGGTGTCTGAAAGAAATTAAATAATTCAAGACACGGACAGTTATAGTAATTAAGACAGCCATTGTGTGCAAATATTAAATTAATTAAATGAAAATAGTTTGAGTCTCAAAATAACTCAAAATCAATTTATCACATTAAAAATTAACAGAGTCAATCATCCTAATATTTGACATTCTTATTATTGCAGGCACAGATTACTATTAATTTAGATTCTATTAATTTCTTAATCTTGGGTTTCAGCGCCACCCGATTGCGAGATCGGCCAGATCACGTGTGGCCAGTACACTTTTAACAAGACATATTGCATACCCCCGCATCAGCGATGTGACATGACCGTCGATTGTGTCGACGGCACCGACGAGGACGGCTGCAGTGAGTATAATTTGCAATTATTCTTACCGACGTTAATCCTTCCGTTTATTTTTATCGCATCGTGATATCGGGTCAATTGAGGAAAAACCTCGGCAAATTACGCTCCTATAAAAACATACACAACTGCGATACGAGTCTTCGTGTGAAAAATTAAGTAACTTCCTCGAAAATCATAATAAAATTAACGACATTTATAAGGTAAAATTATTTTTAGAAAACATTTATGGAATTTTTTCCAAAAGCATTGAATTAAAATGTGATTTGTCTGTTGATCGAAAATAATGTGCAAAAATCGGAAATAAAATTCGTCACGATATCGCGCGTGTACGATTGATTATTTTGCGAATAGATTTATGCAAAACTATATATATTTTTCTCTCTGCCATTATCTTTCTCTTTCGATTTATAAACGGAAGTGCAAAAAAATTCACTTATTGACGATTAAGTGATTTCAGAGACGCACGAAGAATATCGCGTTGTTTCAGAGACATTATCAATTATTGCTGTGTCGAGAAACATGACATGATAACATTATCGACGCTGACAAGGCCGCTCGCATAGGAGCATGGCTAAATAGCAGCTATGTAGCGATTAGACAGATTCTTCTTCGTGTTAGAATCACCAAATTATCAATGCCGGCGTGAGATTATGAAAATGATGATCGAGATTTATAAATATTCTACTTACGCTGCTGATAATTCGCTTCTCGTCTCGCTCTCTCTCTCTCTCTTTCTCAATGCATGCGTTGCATTATTCTAATGTTAAAAAAAATGTAAGAGCGTGCACTTTGTAATTATATCTCAGTTATTATCGTAATTATTTCTCAATTCTTTCAGAGAATGACATTTGAAGTTTTTGAAAAGAATAGAGGCAATATTTTTTTTCATCAAGACGTTCCGCAACTGTAATAACTCCATCGTGATTTAAAAAATTTGCAAGCTTTGTTCCTCTTACTTTTCTCGCCACTCTTATCTTAATATCGTACGAGGTAAGCGAGGAAAGTCACGTTCCGAACTATCGGGCTCATTTCGCGCGTTTATCGGCGGTGCGAACGTGTCGCAACAGGTGATACATCGTGATACGGTCGCGCATTATGGTTCGTAGTTAATGCGAATTATCACGCGAAACTCTGGTCGGACCCCAGAAGCGTGATCAACTCAAGATCGGGCTTTTGACGTTACGTTATGTAAAAGTAACACGTGCACTTTGCTTGTCACGTTTCGCATTTTCAAGCGGCGCCGCTGGCGAAGATGCCTTTATCGTATATGCTGCGAAAGAGAGACATATTAATCCCCTTCAATTCTCCACAGATTCGGGAAATAATTTCTTTCATAGACAAATCTTGAAAAAAATTAAAGCGTTTTATTTTTCAACCCTTTTATATAAGCATTAGACAAAATTACATTGATTTACATAATAGCATTTTTTTATATGAAAGACGAAGAAATGGCAAGAATCCGGTGTGTGTTGCAGTGTACAGAAAGTGCCAGCCGGACGATTTCAGATGCGTTGGAACTACCCCGGAGCTTTGCATACCCAAAGAGAAGAAGTGCGACGGTTACCTGGACTGCCGGAACGGCAGGGACGAGGAGAGATGCGATAACAACATGAAGCCGGCCTGCCGATTGGACCAATTCAGGTGTAACACCACGCAACGCTGCATCGAGCAGAACATGAGGTGCAATCACCGGGACGACTGCGGTGACAACAGCGACGAGGAACACTGTAGTGAGTTACCTGTTTTTTTTTCTCTTTTTTTTTTTTGCATTTGTGTGGTTTGCTCCTTTAGCATGTCATTACTCTTACTTCCAAGTTTCACAAAATTTCGATACGCGATTTATATTCTATTTCTTTTTTTTTTTATTCTTCTTTCAGTTAGTTTATTTAATATTTTGTTTTTTTTTTAATTATGTTGAGAAAGAATTATATCCGGATATTTTTTTAACGGATATACAATTTTTTGCGGAATTAAAGTTCAAGTTGCGACAATTTTTTTAAATCGATCATCATTCAGGATTTTTGATGATTCACAGATTTTCCGCCCTGCACCAGTGACCAGTTTCGATGCGCCAATGCACTCTGCATTCCCATAGCATATCAATGTGACGGTTACAAAGATTGCCAAGATGATTCTGACGAGAAGTCTTGCACAGTGACAGTTTGTCCAGGAAACAAGTTTATGTGTCCAAAGGGTGCTCCGGATGGAAAGCCATTATGTATCAATCGATCTCAGCTGTGCGATGAAAAGCAAGACTGCGAGGATGGAGCGGATGAGGAAGCAGCATGTTGTAAGTGTATTTATGCATATCTTGTTTTATTGCCGATATTAAATATATGAAACACCAATATAAAAGAATCACATACGTGTGATCTAAAAGAGCTATTGTTCTTTTTTTTTGTTTTTTTTTCGATAATACTAGCGGTCATTAGTAGTTATATAAGTCTTATTCGTAATAATTGTGCGAAGAGCAATTAATGGGCATTAACAACATGGAAACAAATTAAAAAACACGAAGTTTCTTTATCGTATAGCGACGAGTATGTGCAGTTCACTTGGTTGTCAACATAAATGTCAAGCGTCTCTCAATGGAGGGACTTGTTATTGTCCCGAGGGAAGAATCCTAGCCAACGATTCACGGATGTGCATCGGTAAGTTATTTAACGTGTAAGAAAAAAATTTGTGTACAAAAATTTATTCAGCGAATTAAAATCTACTCCCCTGTATTTTTGTCTTCAGATCGAGACGAATGCTCCGAGTGGGGCTTCTGCGAACAGCTGTGCGAGAACACGGATGGTTCGTACATATGTCACTGCGCGCCCGGTTACATTCTTCACGGACGCAACAAGTGTCGCGCTCAGAACATCTCTGTCTTGGAACTTCTGCTCGCTCAGGATCGCGCGATATGGCGATTAAACGCGATTGGCGAGGATCGCAGGATAATCGCGAACACCACCGGCGCCAGTGGAGTAGATTATCTTTACTCGCGAAATTTGCTCTTCTGGAGCGACACGAAGACGCGAAAGGTGCACTCGGAATCTTTCAATCTCGGCGTCGAGGCACCCAAAGTGGACATTAGTATGGCGGGTTCCTGGGGACCCGTGTCCATCGCGGTAGATTGGATTGGCGATAAACTCTACGTGGCAGATTCCATCGTGCAAAAAGTAGATGTTTTCGAGTTGAATGGACGTTATCATGGAATCGTTGTGGGTTCCAATCTCACCAGTCCGGCCGATATCGCTCTTGATCCCACGAGGGGCCTCATGTTCATCGCTGATAGCAAGCAAGTTCTTCGTACTAACATGGACGGTACTAATGCATTTCCTGTCGTTTCGGAAGCGGCTTACAAGGTCTCCGGTGTGGCCGTGGATATCATTGCCAAGAGGATTTACTGGTGTGACTCTCTGCTGGATTACATCGAGACGGCGGACTACAGAGGTCGCAATAGGATTATGATTCTCAGAGGTTTACAAGTGCCATCCCCAATCAGACTTACCCTCTTCGAGAACAGAATATTTTGGACAGACGGCACCAAACAATCCGTCATGAGCGTCGACAAGACTCAGGGAGATTATTCCATCCAAAGCGTGTTTAAGGTACAAAAATGATAATTCCATAAATTTACTTATGCGCGTGTGCGTGTTGTGTATAAAAGTATTTAGCATATGCTTTAGCAGCAAAATGAAAGTGAAAGTCAATTTGATTTTAACGCTATTCGACTAATGAATTCTCTCTTGAATTAATTGTTGATGATCAAATATTTATTACATTAATAGCTATTATTATTCTTTTTTTTTTTTGAAAAGTGGGATAAAAGATTCGAAGAACTCACATTTATATTGTAGTATTTAATATCATAATAAATAATCTCTCTTCAGGTACGCGACGCCAAAGCTATAAAAGCCTTGCATCCGCTCTTGCAACCCAGCGTTTCCAATCCTTGCGGCAATAACAACGGTGGTTGTCAGCACATGTGCATCGTTACCGCCTCGAGCGATCAAAGCAATCGATTAGGTTATCGCTGCGCCTGCCACATTGGATGGCGATTGGCAAGCGACATGAGAAATTGCAATCTGGTGCAAGAATTCCTCATGTATTCCCAGCAGAGGTTTATTAAAGGCCGCATACTAAATCCCGTAATGGAAGGCTTTAGCGACGCCATCCTACCAGTGGTATCCAGACGGGCACGATTCGTTGGATTGGATTATGACGCGCACGATCAATACATATATTACAGCGATGTTCTTCAGGATGTCATATATAGGGTACACCAGAACGCAACCGGACGAGAAATTGTTTTGGCTAGCCAAAACGAAGGGGTTGAAGGACTTGCGGTTGACTGGGCTGCAAAAAACTTGTATTACATTGATTCACGTAAAGGTTCGTTGATGACAAAGCTTTATTAAATCTTCAAATTTGTTATTAATTTTCTAGTTGAATTAATTTGTGATATCAATTTTCGACAATCAATAGAGAGATTATAAAAAGCAAGATTTATATTTAGCTGATTGGAATTTTTTATTTTGTACAGGTACGCTAAATGTACTGAGCACTCGGAACGTCACATATCGGCGAACACTGTTAAAAAATCTTAAGCGCCCTCGCGCGATCGTGATTCATCCAAATCACGGTTACATCTTTTTTTCTGAGTGGGACCGTCCGGCTAACATTAGCCGAGCTCACGCCGATGGTTCCAACCTGATCGTTTTTAGGAATCTGACCCTTGGTTGGCCGAACGGACTGGCAATTGACTTTAAAAAAGATCGATTGTACTGGTGCGACGCTCTCTTAGATCACGTACAGCATTCGAACCTGGACGGTACGGATGTACGTACGGTGAATTCCAGATTGATACGACATCCGTTTTCCATCGCCATCCACGAGGATTGGATGTACATCACCGATTGGCGTCTCGACGCCATTATCCGGCTGCATAAAGAAACCGGCGAGCAAGAGGCTATCTTAGTACGCGAACCCGCCACCAACAGGCTTTACGGCGTAAAAGTCTTCAGTCGCGAGATTCAAACAATGAAAGTTAATCATCCTTGCACCATTTATAACGGTGGTTGCGAAAAGCTTTGTTTCGCTATTCCGGATAACTCCTCACACTCCGATACTATCTCATTCCCTGGCACACAATCCGAACCAAAGCTTACTCAAGTATGCGGATGTCCCTACGGAGAGCGTCTTCAGGACGATGGCAAAAGTTGCGCCGCGGATCCTGATGGAGAACCAGCTGTGCAGGCTTGTCCTCATACTTGGGATTTTACTTGTGCAAATCAGAGGTAATATAACAATATGTATATGTACTTCTAGAATTGATAATTGAGACTAATTGCTTTCACTCTCGAGTCAATTAGTACGTAACAAACTTCTTGAAAGAAAGAGAAAATTTAAGTTTTGTAAATTCAATTCAATTCCAGAAATATATAATTGCAACAATTTTTAACATTTTAATTCTTAACTGATCTGTTTTCAGGTGTGTTCCAAAGTCTTGGGTGTGCGATGGTGAGAATGATTGTTTAGACAACAGCGATGAAATGCAAAACTGCACAAAACCGACGTGTAGCGCTAACGAGTTTCAATGTAAATCCGGTCGTTGCGTACCGATGACATTCCATTGTGATACCGAAAACGATTGTGGCGATTATAGTGACGAGGTGGGCTGTCCTAATGTTACTTGCAGCGCTAATCAATTTGCTTGCGCCAACAACCGTTGTATCCCCGCGACTTGGAAGTGTGATTCTGAGAACGACTGCGGCGACAGCTCCGACGAGGGCGAATTCTGCGCAACAAAGACTTGCTCGTACTTTCAATTTACTTGTCCGCGTTCCGGCCATTGTATACCACAGTCCTGGGTGTGCGATGGCGATAGTGATTGCTTCGATCAACAGGACGAGATGGATTGCCCACCGGTTACCTGTCTCAGTACGCAGTTCACATGTGCGGATCAAAAGATGTGCGTTTTAGCGTCGTATAAGTGTGACGGTATTAGTGATTGCAATGATGGTTCGGATGAAGTAGGCTGTCCGTCACTAGCACCGGATCAGTGCAACGTCGATAAGCAATTCCGATGTGTCAGTTCTGCAATTTGTATACCGAGGAGTTGGTACTGTGACGGTACTGCGGATTGCCCGGACAAGTCCGACGAACCAGAGTCATGCGGAAAGGTCGACTGCCAGACAGGATTCTTTAGGTTTGTTGTATTTCTTAATTAAATTTTTACATTTTTACTCTTAGACAACTTGAGTAATGAAAATTAAAAAAATGTACATTTTATTTTTGCCCAATTCGATTGATTTAAGTTAATCTAATTGGATTGTGTGTCTCACAGATGTCAGAACGAGAGATGCGTATTTAAAGCGTATATTTGCGATGGTAAGGACGATTGCGGGGATGGTTCCGACGAGGACACCGAACTACACGCATGCGGTCCTCCCGCATTCAAATGCGAATCTCAACAGTGGAGATGTCCGAACGTGACAAATCTCTGTGTAAATGCGACCAGCGTATGCGATGGCAAATTGGATTGCCCTAATGGAGCGGACGAAGGGCCCGGTTGTGATCTTGCCGAATGCACTCATCAAGCTGGATTATGCAGTAACGACTGCATCCGGACTCCGCTCGGAGCGCAATGTGTTTGTCCGGCTGGCGAAGAGCTCATTGACAACTACTCATGTCAGGACATGAACGAATGTGAGACACCGGGAAAATGTTCGCAAATCTGCGTGAACACCAAGGGTAGCTACTATTGCAATTGTGTGGACGGTTATACGTTACAGAAAGATAAGCACATGTGCAAGGCGTACAATCATAGTGCGGCGTTCCTGATCATTTCCAATAGACATACTATCTTGGTGGCTGATCTTCAGGATCAAGCATTGGAACGAGTTCCTATTAACGTGGAGAATGTTGTAGCGACTGCCAGTAATATGCATACTGGCACCATTTTCTGGTCCGACATGAAATTGAAGCGGATTTCGCGACTGGATCGCGGTAGCGATCCTCAAGATATCATAAGTACTGGTTTAGATTTAGTGGAAGGTCTTGCCTACGACTGGATAGGTCAGAATCTGTATTGGTTAGACTCAAAGCTGAATACGATCGAAGTAGCTAAGGAGACTGGAGTTGGAAGGATGATTCTCGTTAAGGAGAATATCACGCAACCGCGTGGAATGTGTTTAGATCCTAGTCCAGGTGCAAAATGGCTCTTTTGGACCGATTGGGGTGAGAATCCTAGAATCGAAAGAATTGGAATGGACGGCACTAATCGATCAACCATCATCAGCACGAAGATTTATTGGCCTAACGGTCTGGCGTTAGATATTGCAAATCGTAGAATATATTTCGCGGATAGCAAATTAGACTTTATTGATACTTGTCTTTACGACGGCAGCAAGAGGATTCAAGTTCTAGCTGGCTCGCATTATTTATTGCATCCTCATTCGCTTACACTCTTCGAGGATACTATGTATTGGACCGATAGACAGCTTAATCGTGTGCTTTCTGCGCATAAATTTAAAGGTTCTAATCAGATGGTGGTTTCGCATCTAATCTCACAACCACTTTCCATCCACGTACATCATCCAGTATTACAGCCTATCACTGTGAATCCTTGTGCTAACGTGTCTTGTGAACATCTATGCCTTCTATCGCCCAGTAATCCAATGGGCTATAATTGCAAGTGCCAGGTAAGCAGTTATTATATAAGAGATTCTTAAATATCATCTACATTGGAAGCATATAAAATTTTTTTCTCATTCTGTTTATTCTAGATTGGATTCAAATTATTGTCCGAGGGACGCTGCGTGGAAGAAGAGACGCCATACTTGATGGTTCTCCGGGGTTCTCAAGTCGTCGACGTTTCCTTGACGCCCCGAGAAAGTAAAACTGGATATATTACGCCTATTGTTGGCGTGGAAGGCGGAAGGTTTATCGACTATGATAGAAAAGAGCGTATCATTTATTGGTTGCAAGGTATTTATATTTTATTTTTTATTAATTCTTATTTTTATCAATTATTTTATTTTATTAATTATATTTTAATAATCTCAGGTAAGGACGATGACAGCGAAAATGGTACAATTTATACCATCCCTTTCAAAGGTGGTAATCGAACTGAGTTTCCCAATCCCTCCGGCGATACTGGTATTGTCGGTTCGCCCTCCACCATGGCGTTAGATTGGCTTGGTCGCAATATGTTTATCGGCAATAAGTTTGCTTCTAACATCGAGGCTATCAAACTGGACGGCAAGACGCGATTCCGTACAATTGTTTTGGCGAATGACGGCAACAGGACGTCGGTGTCTAAACCAAAAGCGATGTGTGTGGACCCCATTGACGGGCAAGTTTTTTGGGCGGACGAGGGAGGCTTCGGAGTGCCGCAGAAGATTGGACGGGTGAATATGGATGGCAGTAATCCATTGATTCTCATAGAAAAATTGGAGCGTCCTGAAGCTCTCACTATCGATATTCCTAGCAAAACGCTGTATTTTTCCTCTCAAAATCCGGCTTTCATCAAAGCTATGTCAACGGACGGTTTGAACGTCCGCACCATTCTTACCGTCGCGAATAACATGGCATTGCCCAAGGCGTTAGCCGTCCACGAATCTCGTCTGTATTATTTGGACCCGCAGTACGAGAAGATCGAACGTGTGGATCTACCTAACGGCGATAATCCGGTAACTATCATCGACAACGATTCTGAGCTTCGTACCTTGAACATTTATAAGAAACGTGTCACTGGAGTTCATCCTTGTCTTATCAACAACGGCGGATGCGTGCAACTCTGCTTGCCTGCATCTGGAGGTACTCGTGTTTGTGCTTGCGGGATGGATTATAGAAAGGTCTCCGAAATCAATTGCGAGCCTTACAAGACATTCGCGGTGGTAACTCAGTTGGATGTCGCCAGGGGTTATAGTCTCAAGGACTCCAAAGAGGCCATGATACCCATCGCTGGAATTGGCCATCATATTCTACACGTGGACATACATTACGCGGGCAATTGGATATATTGGGTGGAATTTAATCGAGGCATTTGGAACGGCATCTTTAGGTAAGACAATGCTATTATCTATTTTTCCAAATATTTTGATGTATGAATTTTTTGATTCACGCAATTTTTCTATAAAGATATTTTAATATAACAACTAAATATACTATCCATTTTTTATTTGCATTTCAGAATACGTCCCAATGGTACAGAGTTGCAACAGATAATCAAACAAGGAATTGGTTCCAATGGAATCCGCGGTCTAGCCGTGGATTGGGTCGCAGGAAACTTATATTTTGCCAATGTCTTTCCTCATGATAACTACGTAGAGGTCTGCAGGTTGGATGGCTCCAATCGAAAAGTTCTCGTAAAGACGACTACTGACTCTCCTCGAGAGCTGGCCGTGAATCCAATCAAACGATATCTGTATTGGATCGATTACGGGCAATATCCTCGAATAGGCAAGGCATTCCTCGATGGTAGCAATTGGTTCCCTATCGTGACGTCCGGTATTAGCACACCGCGTGATTTGACGATCGACCTTGCCACGCACGATATTTATTGGGTGGACTCGAAATTGGACACTATCCAGAAAGTGTCTTACACTGGCGGAAACCGAGAAATCATCCGTAGGAATCTCCCGAATCCGATGGGCGTTGCCATTTTCGGCGGCGATGTTTTTTGGGTAGATCGAAATTTGGCTACCGTTTTCAAGGCGAGCAAACTGAAGGGCAACACCAGTCTTCCGA